GGCAATGACATTGAAGGAGAAGGCGCCGCAAGTAGATACCTTGAACAGCCTCCTAATTGAGGCGGAAAATATAGTCAACAGCCGCCCGTTGACTCACTTGCCAGTCACACCAGAGGAGCCTGATCCACTAACTCCCAACCACTTTCTGTTGGGGGCCACTAACTCTACACAAACGCCAGGGGACGAAGGAGCGGTCGCCACTAGGAAGCAGTATCGAATAAGCCAGCAACTGAAAAATCAGTTTTGGCATCGCTGGATAAGGAATATTTGCCTACGCTTACGAAACGGACGAAATGGTTTGCACCTCAGCCTGAAGTAAAGACCGGTGATGTAGTCATCATCTGTGATGGTAATCTTCCACGCAGCGAGTGGAGAAAAGGTATCGTGATTTCAACGGTAAAAGCTAGAGACGGACATGTTCGCCTGGCCGATGTTAAGACGGAGAACGGCGTGCTACAACGACCAGTATCGAAGCTGGCGGTGTTGGATGTTTTAGGGTGAAGCATAGAGCCCTTCACCGGGGGGTGGGATGTTGCGAACACACCCGCCAGACTTCAAATGCAACCCTGCAGTTATTTGTCTTCTTTCATTTTCTTTCATTTCACTTACATATGTATTTCCAAATTTGAATTTGTCATTTACTGTTTGTACGCCAGTCTTACCGGCACAAGAATACAAAGTGTAAGAAATTATTTCTGCTAAACAACTTGTAAGATTTATATTATATATTATTTCAGTGAAATAAACGAACAACATTTCAACGGTGACAACGTCAACGTTCATTAAATATAAATTGGTGGTGTTCATTTCTTTTGTAAGTGCCAGCAGGAGCTTTGTGGCGTGCACAACATATATATTTTATTAATATAACCTATCTGTAATACAAATTATTTCAATTTTACATTTACCTTTAGTTACAAGTATATACGAGTATATTTTATCAATCATACCGATAATGTCATGTATTAAAAGAATTAAAAATGAAAATTAATAAAAAAATTTAATAGCAAAATGAATAAAATTAAGTGAAATTAATGTTTAATTTCTAACCTAACCCACATTTGTATGTGTGTAACTGAATCGCCTTTATATATAAAAATATTATGCTAATTTTCGAGCGTGACTCCCTAATCTGTTATTAGAAAAAGAGATTAGCCATGCAAAATTATAATTAAAAATATCTCAGATTAAACCGATAACTTTTTGGTGTCCAACCCAGTTTTATCGATTATACTTGCGAAGAAGAGGAGGAATGTCAAATGTTAAAGTAAACAAAAATTGACGCTAGTAAGGAAAATAGGTTTGTAAAGGTATTTTTAATAAAATATTCAGCTAGAATATATTTAAATAGCCTAATATGTGTTGCAAAAAAAAAGTGACCACGGTGGCACAGAGAAGAAGTTTAACTTTTCCTCGAGTTGTGTGAATAACAAGCACAACCAATTTGACAGCTAACGAGCTTTGATTGAGATTTTATTTATATGTAAACGTCCTTTTATGCTTTGCCATTCGCATATGAATACACATCAAATTTCATGAGTACCTAGTACTCACGCCTTTTTTTTTATATCTAATCATCCAAAATTTTCAAAGTAAAAACTCGTACTGCAAATCTCTGTTCATTTTTTTGCCGGAAAACATATGTTCATAGCAACCAACTTCAAGAAAAAAGCACAGTGGTGCCACATGCTTTTCTTATTTAAATAAAGGTGATTAGAAAACCAACGAAAGTTAAATGGCATTTAAATAACAATCCAAAATTAAACTTAAATGCCGTTTAAATATTCATTTGAAATTGGCCCTTAGTAAAGTCCAAACACTAGTAAGGAACGATTTTTTTCCATTTTACCCAAATGACCCACAGATATCGGGAAAACACAGGGTTGTATCAGACTTTCGACATGGTTTCGAGTTCGTAAGCTTTTAACCATATGCTGTCATTTTGTTAAATGCTGTCATTTTTATGTGGCAGAACTTCGCTAACTGACTACTTCGTTATCGGGATAACCAACTTAACAGACATAACTACGGGGTTAGCTCCGGTGGTGACATGGTATTAGCAATCATAAATAACAATGCGTTAGTCACGCCAATATCTCGATGTCCACCAGCTAAAGAATTGTATTATTATTATTGTTATTTACACAACTTTACTTGGTACCCGTAGCTGATAATGAAAACATATTGTTTACACATTTATCTATAGGTCCAGCAGAAGTTATCGGTAAAGATGTAGAAGGAGAAGCAGTTCCACATATCTCTTGACTTGCATCTGATTGCACTTCATAAGTGTCTACCATAGCCATCGTAACCTACAAATATTTTAAATTTATTTAAAAAATATAATTATTGGTAACGTACACAAACTCATGAAGAAAAACTTTCTTGTATGAAATTATTGAAAAAAAACAGCTATATCTTACCTCATTATTGACTGAAGTTTGTGGAGACAAAGGATTAAAAGTACTACTTTCATCCACAGAAGGACGCCCCATTCTTTTTAAATTCGTAGGCATTTTTTTTCTTATATTAGTGGTATTCATCTAAACCGATAACTTTATCAAGCAGATAATCTTATAAGTTTATGCACTCTGTTACATGAACGACCCACACTCTCTTTTCGTTTACACATGCGACAATAGTCGTGTTTTCTTTGGTTATAAAGCGCAGTGTCACTAACTTTATACTACTAGCACGGGGATAAAGAAATTATAGAAACTACCTCACTAAATTGGAAAAAACTATATTTACGAGATATATATTTAAATAAATGTACATATAACATAAAGACTATTTATTTGAAGCAAGTTATAAGAAACAATGGCAGAATGTCTGTTTGTGTATGAATTCATTTGTCACGGCTACCAAACTTTGCGAATTATCAGTGAAACAAAACAAACAGACGGGATAATAATTGAACCAGATCTCTATCACGATCATATCGTTGTTGAATTTGCGTGCAAAATTTGTATGCGGATCCCGATTATTGCCTAAGAAAACATAGCTAGAGTTTCGACAGAGTTGCATTGTCTTCAGTTTATCAAGTTTATTCAGTAAAATCGCTGGATAAATTTATCAGAAATGTGTAAACGAGTTTCCATACAAATTTTGACAGTTCATTTATAAGGTTTACACAATTATAAGTTTATACGGTTTACAATGCATTTATAAGGTTTGATGAATACCCTTATTAATTTTATGCACTGCTCTTAAATGATTTGACAATGTTGTAGTACTGTTATTGAAATTTAGTTCTCTATCACACTTTTCACATTTAACTTTGGTGTTAGTGGCAATTTTTTTTAAATAAGACAAAACTGCACTTGGCGCCATTGTTAGAAGAAAATTTATTTAAGAGACTGTAGAGCAAATCAATTTCTAAATAAAACATGGTAAAAAAATGTTTTTTAAAAACAAGCTTTTATTTAACCTGTACAATCAAAGGAATAAAATTAAGTAGTGTAACGAAAGATTTTTTAGCAAGAAAATTTTGTCAAAACTGCACTAAAATAAATAAAATAAATTAAGTTAAGGTCTCGTTAAAGTTGCTAAAAGCCATTTAGTGAAAGGAGTTATTCAAACTCTAAGTAAAATTACTAACAATTTGTACTACTTTACTTCGTTTTTAAAAAAGCTTGTCGCGCGAATAGCAAACCTGAATTTAAATATCTGCATACATAAATATACATACATACCTAACCAATTATGCGTGTACGCTGAATTCGCCGAAAAACGGTAAAAATAAAAGCTTTCTAAAACATATTTTTTTTACATTATTTTATTTTATAATTTTTTGTCCATTTAAAAAGCGTTGTATATTAAAAGGTGTTATTTTGTTTTATGTATAAAATTTTGCAATAGATATTAAAATAATTCCACTTGCAATGTAAGAGAACAGAAGACTTGGCAAGCAAAATGTTGTTTGCTTACGTTTTGTATAAACATACATATGTACATTTCCGCTGTAGCATGGCATATATTCAGGCGCAATATTTAACTTCTTCTGGCTCTAGCGGGGCGACATCTGGAGTCTTCTAACTGTATCTCCTTGATATGATGCCTACAACGTGGTTAATATTTAGACTAGGAATAGCTTTGCTACACTACCGCCGCGGCGCGTCGGCAGCTTTAACAATTTTGTAGTGGTTTTGGGTGGGCTTTAGTAGTCAGCCGCACCTTGTGTTTTAAGAAAACCAGGTGGAATTAACAAATGAAACTTGGTCAGGATGTTAAGGGAGGTATCCTCTAAAACACGTATAACTAAAAAATATAAACAATATCATTTTTTATAAGTTATTTGTTGTTAAAATTTTTTAAGTCGTTCCACTTGGTTTCCTTAACAAAAACTGCATTTGTCACATACTTTCATATATATAAATGCACATAACACTGTACTTAATATTTTACACACTCTTACTTTATTTTATATTGTATATAAATCACTTTAATTCAACTTTTATCGACTTGTAAAATACATTGAATTGCACCCATATTTACAATAACACATGGTTGCAAACTGACACATAACATGTGTTGCCATANTCAGCTCCTTTTCTTCGCAAAACAGAAAGGAGAATTCTACTAAGTGAAAGTTCTGAATTAAAAATCCCCTTTTATTATTCAAAATTCCAGTCTGGTAGCACCAAGTTGTATGTTATTCTGCTATCTTGTTCATCGTTTATATGAAAACTTTAACAATAAATTATATAAGAACTATATGGTTGCTAGAAAAAAGGGGGTATTTTTGAAATCAGCGGGTCCTATTCTCCCCCCTCATCCCCCTTTTTTCTAGAATTTGCCGTCCGTCTACTAAAATTTTCCCGTGGTTTTTCCGTCCCTGGCAAATTACGCTGTATTAGCCATAAATCATACTATTTTTTTATCGCCTTTAAATCAAGAACCCTGGACCATATGGGAAATTCATTTACATTTCAAGTTTCACTGTCATCGTTATTGGAACTAAATATGCTGAAAATTTCAAGTCGCTAACTTGACGGAGAGTCAGTTTAAAATCGATTGGAAATTTCCGCGATTTGCGCGGGATGATCAAGTTAAATAGAAGCTTATAAAAAGTCGAGAGTCGACGGGGGAAAGTCGACTTCAATCGACTTCCATAACCTGAAACTCATTATAAGTCGACTTTTAGGAGTAAAAAGTCGATTTTGGTCGAAAGTCGAACTCGTTGCCTTCTCTAATGTATTCCCCTTGTTGAATTAGAGCAAACTTTGAAATGGCAGAGGAAATTGACGAAAGTGGCTTCTATCGCCAGGATTTCAGCGCAGCCTCGGATTGGGAGATATTCACTGCACGACTTGGTGAAATTTTTCATAAACTTACCGACAAAAATTCTGATGATTGTGTGAACAATGTGTTTCTTTGTGATTGGGAAGTGCAGACGGAGACGCTTATTTTTCTTAAAGAGAAAATATCGATTAGTTATTATACTACCAGCAAAGAAGAGGCAAAGAAGAATTTTGCAAGAAACGGAACAAATAGTTCAATATATAATGACCTAATGGCAGCTGAAAGCACATTCGGGCCCTCGCTAATATCCAAAAATTCCAAAAGTGTGCATGCGATCTCTTTCCTGTATGGGTTGCATAGTTTTGTGTTGATCCATCTACATCAATCTCACAAGCAATTGTTATCAAATCCTGAATTCAGCTTTTTCTTAAGTGCCGCAGCGATCGTGTCGGCAGAATATTGTCCAATGATCCCTATCTTTGTGCAAATCCACGATACAAAATTAAGTATATTTCTGGGAATAGGAATGCACTTAACGCAACGTACTAATTTTGATGTAGTGACACTTAAACAGTCACCGATTGAATGTCGATACCTATCTGGTTTGCTGTCGTTATTCAAAGAGAAACTTCCAGCGAATTGTGTTTATCCGATCACTGTATCCGTGCGAAACACTTACGCTCTAAAACCAGTACGTAAACGAATTTCATTGAGCTTACCATTTTATGAATCTTCCTGTGAAAGTGATGAATTTTTAAATATCAAGAAATTTATTGCACTTCCATGCGGATATTTCCCCGATGCGTGTACTCAAGTATACCTTGGTTACGATTGGTTGGAGGTTCCTGAAAGCGGTGCTATAGATTCACCGCTGCATTCTGACTTTGTTCCGTCGAAGTCGCACAACTGTATTATGCAGCAAGTTGCTCAGGCGGCATCTTATTTGTCAAACTGCTTACGGCAGTATTTAAAAGTACATTCTGATAAAGGTACCTTAGAAACCTATATAGGACAGAGTTTAACGGAATATCCAAGCGGTTCGGAAAAGTCACTGCCACACATAACAGATCCACATCTTCGACGTTTTCGTTTAAGCCATCTGCCTGAAGATTCAAATTTTCTAAAGGGTTCTAATAATATAGCTGGCCCGCTTAATGAAAATGAATTAAGACATTTCTTGGCGTACTTATTTCCCGATTTATATCCTGATGTTGCTAAATATAGCTTTTCGAATGATCCAAAGGAGATGAAAGAAGTACAAATAATTAATTTAAAAAATATATTTTTTTCAGTAATAAAATACTTATGTACATATGCATCATGTATATATTTGTAGTATGACATGCATCGAATAAAATCAGCAATGATGGATTCTTTGTCTTGGCGCCTTAGTTGCCTACTAGCTACCTGCAACGCACATTATGGAGGTAAAAGCGGACTTGCCCAGCTATGGGCAGCATTCACCAGGGAACTTCGATTTATATGGGATACCAGATTATCTATACAAGGGTGAGTAGGTGTAAACTACATATAACCGATGCCTGCAAAACACCTACCTTAAATTAAAAAGTTTAACAAAAGAGGAAGAAAAACGTTTTTTTTAAGGCATTGCCTTGATAGGCGTTACTTTCTCTCGCTATTATTTTACAAATCTGTGGTTTTAGTCACATAACGGTGATTTAGGCCGAGGCCACGCAATGAGCGGCAAAGCGAAAGCGGCTTAATTAAAACATTATATTGAAGTGGCCATGCTCTGAGCGGCTGAGCGGGATATTTGTATGGCGCCGTTCAGCCGCTTGCCGCTTTGCCGCTCATTACGTAGCCTCGAACTTGGGCGGTTTTGCAACTGGTCTATGGGCGGTTTTGCGAAGGTATCGTAAATGAAGAAAAAAAGAGTCGATCAGCGATAGAAAATGAGTTCTCGTCTTGCCATTTTTGACCCCTTCGGAAGCAGCCGGCACCTTAAGCACAATTGATTGATTTCGGCACTATTTTTACGTAACTCATTAAAATAATATACAGTATAGGACATATCTATAGCACCCCCTTCTCAAATTGATATTGTTTGGCACATAAACATGTGTAATTATTAATTATTAATTTTTAAGAATTTTCATTTAAACTACAGTTCATTCTCTAACAAAACTGATTCAATAATAGTAAGGTTTTGTAATAAAACAGTATTCTCGCTTCCACACATAAAACCGGCTCCTTTACTTGTGCAGAATGTTGCTTACTCTACAGTTTCTAATGATATTAGTAGTAAAACCAAAAATTCTTCATACTAAATATTCGTGAGCATCACCTTCGTTTGCGTAATTTTCTAGAACAGGTGTAGAATAGCGACCGTTTAGCTATAAAATAACCAAAAATACCGATTGATAGAACTTTTACGCTGATTTGAACGATACCAAATTTATTCGGCGCAGGTAATAAATAAAGAAGATATAAGAGGTTTATTTGCTTTATTTATTTGTATTTTTATTATCACTAAATTGTTGAAACCCAAAAGTAGATAGTGACAAAATATGTAATATCGAATTAAAGGTAATAACTTGTACTTTCTAAATAATATTAATTTCTTTACCATTAATTATGCAGTTTTTTTCAAAAAAGGTAATTTCATCAAAAATAACATTTGTTCGTTTTTTAGTGGTTTGGGTTTAAAAATACAAAAAGCTATAAATTATGTGCATCAGCTGAAAGACAAATCAATTATCTTGGTGGTGACGTCATTAAATTTTTAATCGGTTAAATAGTTCATAAGATATTAATATTTAAAAAATCTAAAAACAGAATTTTAACCTTCTAGAACGTCTTCATTTTTCACTTTCGCCAAATAATTTTGGCATGGTGGAAATGAACATAAAAAGTTCTATTGATCTGCATTTTTCATTTTTGCATAGCTGAACGGTCGGTATTCTAGATTTCTTCCAGCAAATGACGAATAACTGAAATCAAAAATGCATATTTTTATGTATTGTTTAGTATTTCCATTATAACACCAAATATATTGCAAATTCGCATAGAATTAATAATACACCTTTACTTCTTATTGTACACTTCTTTACTTCTTATTGTATACTTTGCGTACTTTTTATAGTACCTTTCTACTACCGTTTTCGCAAAAGGCGATCACATTCCCCCTTTCTCCTACTTCCAAAATACAAATCGAGATAAAGGAGTGTCAAATTTTAGCTGTCACAAATTACACAACCTTGTTTTATTGAATCATGATAGTAACCCAAGTTTAAAACTTTCTAAAAAACTACAAAATAATGCAAAAAGTTTTCACCCAAATTTCAAAGGGTTTTCTCAGAAGTGTTAAAACTTTTTCGAGGCCACAATTTTATAGCCCATTCAATTTTAGTCTTATAATGTGCAACTTTCAAGTGACTAAAAATTACCGTTGATTTGTTTAGAATATATTTTGTATTTTTATATGGAAGAAACCCGCAAAAACTTCGGCTAAAAAAACATCCGTAATTTTTAGCCACTTGAATACTTCATTATTAGACTAAAATTGAATGGGTTATAAAGCGGTGTACTCAAAAAAATTCTAGCACTTCTGAGAAAAAAGTTTGCAATTTGGCTGAAAATTTGTTGCATTTTTTGTAGTCTTTTAAAAGGTTTAAAACTTGGGTTTATGTGAGTTTTGTTTGAGAATGAACTGTATTTTAATTGAAATTTCTAAAAATAAGTAAGTAAACATGAGTGGCAAACAATATCACTTTGAAATAGGGGTGCTACTGTATTGGCCAATACTGTGGGTATATTTCTTTCGAATCCGCATTCAAAAATATTTTTTTTTTTTTACTTTTTATCGTATGTGCTTAAACTGATATACATATACATATAATGATATAACATAGTGTAGCTGTTGCCGACGACAAGTCACATAAGCGTTTGTTGTCATACGTTTAACAAATTACAAAATACAAGATAAAGGCAAATACAAAGTTGGACTTTCAATTGATTAAAAATACTAAAACCGAGATACTGAAGAGATACTAAAACTTGTATATTCGCTGCCCGCCATCTTTCTTCTCTTATCCAAATCGACGAATGAAAAGATTCACGTTGGCTGCGATTGTTACTGACTGGGGTTGCCATATGATTGCACGATGGCGAATTTAGGGTGCGGTTACACTACCCAGATATCGACATCCCACCTCCTGGCGGATCTTCGGGGGATTCGCAAAAACCCAAAGCGGCTAGCTTTTTCGCCGGTCGACGTATGACTCCATGCGAGGTGTAGATGTTGGCACTTCGGACTCGGCCATCATTTCCTTTGAAAACTTCAGTAATTCGCCCTTTCTCTCAATGACTTCGTGGTGCTGAGGGGTCACATATTATAACAAGTGTTCCTGGCTTAAGCGCATCTGCGTCGTCTCTCCACTTCGAGCGACATAGAAGTCGAGGCAAATATTTTACCGTCCACCTTTTCCATGCACGGTCCTTCAAATTCTGGCTATCCTCCACTGTTTTCGGAGGCATAGGCGGTTCTCTTCCGGATGTGGCGTTTACGTAGAGTTCAAGCAACCCACTAGGAAATGGTTGGGTGTGAGAGGTTCTTCCTCTTCTGGCGTGACTGGCAGATCGGTCAATGGGCGGCTATTTACGATATTTTCTATTTCAATGAGGACACTACGGAACGTCTCCAACCTCGGTGCCTCCTCTTTGAAAACTTTGTGCAGGATTCGCTTAGTGCATTATATGAGGCGTTCCCAACAACCGCCACTGCTGAGATCTGCGGGGCAGTTAAACACCCAATCGATACGCTGTTTGGACATTTCGCTTCCGATGACGGTGGAACCGAACATTCGGTCAGCTTCTCTCATCTCCTTCTGGGCACCGATGAAATTGGTGCCGTTATCACTCCGAATGCGTGTGGGCACCCCGCGGCGATTCACGAAGTTGCGAAGACAAATGATAAATGCGTCGGTTGACAGGTTTTCTGATAGCTCGATATGGACTGCTCGCGTAGTAAGGCACGTGAACAATGCGATCCACCTTTTTTCCGTTCTGCGACCGATGGTAACGTGAAATGGGCCGCAGTAGTCTACTCCGCTGTACGTAAAAGGTCGAACATATGGTGTTAGTCGATCCAGCGGCAACTGACCCATCAACTTTACGGCGGGCTTAGCTCTGTCGTGTATGCAGACAGGGCACTGCTTTTTGACGGTCCTCAAGACGTTGCGTATGGCGGGAACCCAAAACCGTTGGCGTACCTCATTCATTGTAAGGTTGTCGTTTTGGTGGTGTCTCTTTTGGTGCGGCGTGGCTACTACTAGTCTCGTGTCGTTACTTTTTGTTGGCAAGATGATTGGTCTGCGTGCTGTTATCGGCAGGCAATAAGCTGCGTCTATCCTCCCATAAACCCTTAATAAACCTTCTTCATCTAAGTATGGTGTCAGTTGATAAATACTGGAACTTTTTGGCAACGGTGACTTCTTTCGCAGCAAATCGATTTCATGTTGATACGCTTCTTTTTGCTCCATGCGGCATATACACTTCTCGGTGGCGGCTAGTTCGTCGACATGTAGTTCGCGGTCACTACTGTTGTTGTTGTTGTTGTAGCGGCTACAACAACCTCGCCCAGATCGGTTGGTATCTCAGTCGTTGTCGTCAAGTTCCACTAACGGCAGCCCTAGGAAGCGTGCAGCTTCTGTTGGGTTGGTCCACAAGGACAAAGCGGTTAGGGTTGTCGGGTTTTCCGGGCATGCGAAGAGATGTTTCGAGTCATGTGGGGTCTCTCCGCTTGCCGGACACTCATTTGGCACATCCTCATTCAATCTACTCAGGTAGGAGTTTAACCTGCTGCAGTAGCTAGGCGGTATGCCTAGAACGGCATTCACAGGTCTATAGTCTACATAACTCGAGACTGACTCCCTGTGAATGCCGTTCAGGGCCAGTCGGTAAGCTGACGGGTCCAGAGGTTGACAAATCGCAACACCCAGGCTATGGCTCTGACTAATTTTAGGAAGGATGAAAATCTGGTAAGTTTGATCAATGGCTCACCCGTGTTGCACAGAAGCAGGTGTCGACTAGTGATCTCCTCGTTGGCACAGTCGTCGGACGTCAAAATTGTTTCTCGAGGCCAGCATTCCTCGTCCTGGTGTAAAAATTGTGGTCCACTAAACCAGCGCGAGTGTGACGAGAACTCGGGTATCAGCATAGCGCGAGTAGCTTCGTCTGCGACGTTTAGGTTCGTAGGCACCCATCGCCACTGATTCGTTGTCGTTGTAGTTAGGATCTCTGCGATCCGATGTGCTACGAACGGTTTGTACGTTCGCGCGTGTGAACGTATCCACAGAATAACCGTCTGCGAATCGCTCCNAACCGAACATTCGGTCAGCTTCTCTCATCTCCTTCTGGGCACCGATGAAATTGGTGCCGTTATCACTCCGAATGCGTGTGGGCACCCCGCGGCGATTCACGAAGTTGCGAAGACAAATGATAAATGCGTCGGTTGACAGGTTTTCTGATAGCTCGATATGGACTGCTCGCGTAGTAAGGCACGTGAACAATGCGATCCACCTTTTTTCCGTTCTGCGACCGATGGTAACGTGAAATGGGCCGCAGTAGTCTACTCCGCTGTACGTAAAAGGTCGAACATATGGTGTTAGTCGATCCAGCGGCAACTGACCCATCAACTTTACGGCGGGCTTAGCTCTGTCGTGTATGCAGACGGCACTGCTTTTTGACGGTCCTCAAGACGTTGCGTATGGCGGGAACCCAAAACCGTTGGCGTACCTCATTCATTGTAAGGTTGTCGTTTTGGTGGTGTCTCTTTTGGTGCGGCGTGGCTACTACTAGTCTCGTGTCGTTACTTTTTGTTGGCAAGATGATTGGTCTGCGTGCTGTTATCGGCAGGCAATAAGCTGCGTCTATCCTCCCATAAACCCTTAATAAACCTTCTTCATCTAAGTATGGTGTCAGTTGATAAATACTGGAACTTTTTGGCAACGGTGACTTCTTTCGCAGCAAATCGATTTCATGTTGATACGCTTCTTTTTGCTCCATGCGGCATATACACTTCTCGGTGGCGGCTAGTTCGTCGACATGTAGTTCGCGGTCACTACTGTTGTTGTTGTTGTTGTAGCGGCTACAACAACCTCGCCCAGATCGGTTGGTATCTCAGTCGTTGTCGTCAAGTTCCACTAACGGCAGCCCTAGGAAGCGTGCAGCTTCTGTTGGGTTGGTCCACAAGGACAAAGCGGTTAGGGTTGTCGGGTTTTCCGGGCATGCGAAGAGATGTTTCGAGTCATGTGGGGTCTCTCCGCTTGCCGGACACTCATTTGGCACATCCTCATTCAATCTACTCAGGTAGGAGTTTAACCTGCTGCAGTAGCTAGGCGGTATGCCTAGAACGGCATTCACAGGTCTATAGTCTACATAACTCGAGACTGACTCCCTGTGAATGCCGTTCAGGGCCAGTCGGTAAGCTGACGGGTCCAGAGGTTGACAAATCGCAACACCCAGGCTATGGCTCTGACTAATTTTAGGAAGGATGAAAATCTGGTAAGTTTGATCAATGGCTCACCCGTGTTGCACAGAAGCAGGTGTCGACTAGTGATCTCCTCGTTGGCACAGTCGTCGGACGTCAAAATTGTTTCTCGAGACCAGCATTCCTCGTCCTGGTGTAAAAAATGTGGTCCACTAAAACAGCGCGAGTGTGACGAAAACTCGGGTATCAGCATAGCGCGAGTAGCTTCGTCTGCGACGTTTAGGTTCGTAGGCACCCATCGCCACTGATTCGTTGTCGTTGTAGTTAAGATCTCTGCGATCCGATGTGCTACGAACGGTTTGTACGTTCGCGCGTGTGAACGTATCCACAGAATAACCGTCTGCGAACCGCTCCGAAAAGTGATGCTGTCGATGGAAATGTGACCTTCTTCCACCAGTGTTTTGATACGGCATCCGAGGACTGCAGCTTGTAGTTCCAACCTTGGAACCGACATTGTTTTAAGCAGCGCGCAAGTTGCTTTGGCGCAAACGAGAGTTACCTTCACTGCATGTTCCTTTTTTACTCAAGTACGCGGCTGCTGCGTATGCACGTGTGCTGGCATCGACGAAAATGTGTAGTTGGATGCTGTCAGCGGACGGTATCAAACCCGAGTAACAGCGTGGTATTGAAAACGCTTTTACTGACTGAAAGTTCGACCACCAAGACTCCCACTGTGCTGCTAAATGTATCGGCAACTCTTCATCCCAGGCGATGCTTTGTTTCCACAGGGCGTGAATAAGTAATTTGGCGGAAATTGTTACGTTGGCAAGTAGTCCGAAGGGATCGTATATGGATTCCCAACAGCTCCCTTTTAGGGGGTAGTACCTTACAGTGCAGAATGTCGCTGGATATTTAAAAAATTTAAAATGGAATTCAAAGGTGTCTGTGGATGTGTTCCAAAACATCCCTAGGATTTTATCGGCGGTGGCTTGTCGTTCCAGGTTGATGACTGTAGACGGCGTGTTGTTGTTATCGTTCAAGCTTGCTTCCAGAACTTTGCTATTTGACACAAATTGTCGAAGTTGAAACCCGGCGGCGGAATTAATTGCGATGGCTTCTCGGATTGTTTGGTCGGCGTCTTTGACATTGTTGAAACTTATCACCAGATCATCCACGTACGTTTTGTTTTCTACGGCATCGGCACATCTTGGCATCTGGGAAGCGAATCTGGCGGCATTTTTGTACAACTTCTGCGCAGCATGGGGAACAGGCGGCCCCGAAAATCATCGAGGTCATGGCAAAGGTGCGAATTGGTTGACTGGAGTCACCCCCTCTCCATAAGAAGCGCTGCGAGTCTTGATCCTCAACTCGGAGGCGCACTTGAGAAAACATCTCCTGGATGTCTCCAGCCACTGCGACGATTCCTTGTCGAAATTTAAAAAGAATGCTGATTAAACATTGGGCCTTAACGGGTCCTTTGAGTAGCGCCAATTAAGAAGAAGAAGAAGAAAGCGGCTGTTCTAGCCGATGAGCGTGACAGCCTTCGTCAGGCCGATCCCGGAAATCCCCGTATCAGGAATCTCAACGAGGAGATTCGGCAACTAGTTGTTGTTGTTGAAGCGGCTACTAAGCCCCGTTCGGGGCGGTTCATCTATCAACGTTGTCGTCAATTTCAGCTAGGGGGAGGCCCAGGAAGTGTGCGACTTCCATAGGGGCTGTCCATAGGGACAGGGGCGTTAGCTGAGTGGGGTTCTCAGGGCATGTGAAGAGGTGCCGGGATTGGTTGGGCACATCCTCGTTGATTCTACTCAAGTAGGAATTGAGCCTGCTGCAATAGCCAGAGCGAAGTTGGGCTATTGTAGTGCGGGTCTCCCGAGGCAGACAAAGTTCTGTCCCGTCCACGTCCGGTGGTTGTGTGCCTAGAACGGCATTCACGGGGCGAGAGTCTACATAACTTGAGACTGATTCCCTGTGAATGCCGTTCGGGGCCTGTCGGTAGGTTGACGGGTCCAGAGGTTTGATAAACCTCTGGACTTCGTCTGTCAGTTCGTAAAGATGCCTTGCCTTGTATGTTGCCAACAACGTGTCTTTATCTTTGCCCCAAGTGCTGCCGGCCAACGACTTGAGGACATTGTTGCGGCTCTGTACTCTGTTGACAATTGCAGTTGTATGCGCCGAGAAAGAGAGCAGACTGTCGAAGNACCCCCTCTCCATAAGAAGCGCTGCGAGTCTTGATCCTCAACTCGGAGGCGCACTTGAGAAAACATCTCCTGGATGTCTCCAGCCACTGCGACGATTCCTTGTCGAAATTTAAAAAGAATGCTGATTAAACATTGGGCCTTAACGGGTCCTTTGAGTAGCGCCAATTAAGAAGAAGAAGAAGAAAGCGGCTGTTCTAGCCGATGAGCGTGACAGCCTTCGTCAGGCCGATCCCGGAAATCCCCGTATCAGGAATCTCAACGAGGAGATTCGGCAACTAGTTGTTGTTGTTGAAGCGGCTACTAAGCCCCGTTCGGGGCGGTTCATCTATCAACGTTGTCGTCAATTTCAGCTAGGGGGAGGCCCAGGAAGTGTGCGACTTCCATAGGGGCTGTCCATAGGGACAGGGGCGTTAGCTGAGTGGGGTTCTCAGGGCATGTGAAGAGGTGCCGGGATTGGTTGGGCACATCCTCGTTGATTCTACTCAAGTAGGAATTGAGCCTGCTGCAATAGCCAGAGCGAAGTTGGGCTATTGTAGTGCGGGTCTCCCGAGGCAGACAAAGTTCTGTCCCGTCCACGTCCGGTGGTTGTGTGCCTAGAACGGCATTCACGGGGCGAGAGTCTACATAACTTGAGACTGATTCCCTGTGAATGCCGTTCGGGGCCTGTCGGTAGGTTGACGGGTCCAGAGGTTTGATAAACCTCTGGACTTCGTCTGTCAGTTCGTAAAGATGCCTTGCCTTGTATGTTGCCAACAACGTGTCTTTATCTTTGCCCCAAGTGCTGCCGGCCAACGACTTGAGGACATTGTTGCGGCTCTGTACTCTGTTGACAATTGCAGTTGTATGCGCCGAGAAAGAGAGCAGACTGTCGAAGGTAACTCCGAGAATTTTCGGGTTATTCACCGTCGGTATTGTTACGCCATCGACGTGAATACCCAGTTGCAGTCTGAGCTCCTTCGTCCAGGTGGTGAAAAGGGTTGCCGAGGATTTCACAGGGGATGGGCAAGGCTCCCTGCAGTGAAGAAGCGAGAAAGTTCGGCGAGGTAATCGTTTACCTTCGAACACAAGTCATCAATTCCTTTCCCAGACGCCATGATCTAACAATCGTCAACATAGGAGACTATATTAACACCCTCTGGTGGCTGAGGAAGCTTTGAGATGTAATAATTAAACAGTAGCGGGGACAGGACACCACCTTGTGGTACCCCCTGTTTAATTTTACGTGGCTTGCTAGTTTTGTCTCTGAAAATTACTGACGAGTGTCGACCACTCAGGTAATTCGCCGACCACCGTTTGAGTCTCTGTGGGAGTGAGGAGGCCTCTATATCTTCTGGTAGCGTTGAATGACTGACAGTGTCGAACGCCTTGGACAGGTCCAACGCTTCTAGAACAGTTCTCTCACAGGGGCGGTTTCGGTTTAGGCGAGTTATCTGAGTGTTTATGGCGTGCTGTTGTTGTGCTATGCACTTTACGGAACACATATTGATGCTTTGCTGGGGTCAGGTGGTTCGTAAAGTACGGGAGCAGCAGGGCCTCGAGCGTCTTCGATGCCGGGGAAAGGAGAGTTATCGGGCGATAAGACTCTCCTTTGTTGGCTGGTTTCCCCGGTTTGAGCAGTGGGACCACTCTCCCCATTTTCCAGATGTCTGGAATGACGAGAGTGGCCACAGACAGGTTGAGGACCTCCGTTAGGTACGCTACTCCCGCAGGACCCAAATTTTTCAGCATCAACATGCATATTCCGTCGGGTCCAATGGCTTTGGAGGATTTCGCCTTCCCGATGGCTACCCTTACCTCACCGCTGGTGAAAACATGAGGCGCACTGGGTTTTGGCATTTTGTGCAGCCTTCTGGTCACTCGACGTTTGGCGTTATCCACCGGAGGATGCAGAATGAACTGCCGGCTAAAATGGCTCTCGCATCTCTCCGGGTCCGACGAAGCGTGGTCACCATACTCTATCTCGACTCTGTCTGGGTTGGATAATGATCTCACGGTTGACCAAAGCTTGCTCACACCAGAGGCGAAGTTGCAGGTCTTCAAGTGCTCTTGCCGCTTCGGCAGAAAAGTTCGAACGTGGATCCTTAATACATCCTGCTGGGATGAAGCGAGCTGCAACAGCGGTGACAACCCTGCGGAACTTACGTTTACCTACATGAACGTCGGTTGGTATGGGTAGTGCAGTGAAGGCGCCTTCAGTAACATCCGTGAAGCCTTTCCAGTCAGCTTTGGAAAAGTTGACATAAGTCCGGTGATCCACGGAAGCAAAGTCGGCAGGTTTATCAATCGAGATGACTATGGGCAGATGGTCTGATGCTAGGGTCAGCATAGGTCGCCATGATACGCTGTTTATCAGACCAGCGCTGACAATTGTTAGATCTGGCGAGCTGTAGCGGCTGCCCATAATCCTGGTGCGTGCGTCGTCGTTCATTGTGCAGAATGTCGAATCGTCTATCTGCTCAGCCAGATGTATTCCCCTATGATCATTTGACAGGCTTGAGTGCCAAAGATCGTGGTGCACGTTAAACTCACAAACTACCATACGGTTTTCACCTCTGAGTAGCGCACCTATTTCAGGGTGATATCCTGCCGGGCAGCTGGTGGTGTATAAACGTTAGATATTTCGAGCTCAACATCGCCTGACCGGATAGCAATACCCTGACATTCTAGGATGGTATCCCTGTGGTCGATGTCTGCTTCAATAAGACAATACTGCACGGTGTGGTGCGTGATGAACGCTAAACCTCCACCATTATCTCGCTCCCGATCTCGACGGGGCACGTTGTATCCGGCGTAATTCAACAGGGTTGAATTGCCGTGCAACTTCGTCTCTTGGACCGCAGCTATTAATATTCCATGCCTTCCCATAAAGACAGTTATCTCCTCGATCTTGCTCTGGAGTCCGTTGCAGTTAAATTGTAGCACCTTTGTGTGCCTTGGGAGACCGATTGTGATGTGTGGTGTTAAAGAGTTTTGTTGCCTGCCGGCCCCCTGCTGTACGTGCTGCAAAAGGGGGTGCTGCCTTGTGGTAGTGGTTGGTGGCGTCACGGGGGAGGGATGTGACGGGGCAGCACAGCAGGGGCCCACATAGTCACTCGTCCAATCTCGCGTGTTGCGAAGTCCTGAGCACGCCCTAAAGTGGCACCAGCCGAGGCAAGAGTTGCACTTGACTGATGTCACGTTACGGTATATTCTGGACTGACAAACAGAGCAGATTGTCGGAGGGACTAGGAGTTGCTGGCGGCGGTGTGTGGGTGCTATTGTGTTTGTTTGTGTGTCTATTGTTGTGTTGTGTTTGGGTGTGGGTGTGTTGATTGTGCGCTGCCTAGGCGGGTGGGGGTTTGCCGTGGAGGCGGTCCGGTTCGTACAGCATGGGGCCACGAAAGACGTGGTCCATTGCCGGTGCTTACGTAGGCCTGAGCAGTTGCGGAGGTGACTGCACCCGTCACAGGCATTGCACCTGACCGAGGTGGAGTTTGTATGCAGTCGTCTCTGGCATACGCAGCAGGTGTAGATTTCTGGCCCTGGGTTTGACCCTATGCCAGCCCTGAGCAGAAGGGTACGGAGAAGATGTAGCCCTAGAATCGAGCAACGTTTGATGGATTTCGCCGGCCTAAACGGGGTTAGATCGCCGAAACAACAGCCCTTGGTCGGGTAAAACCCGAGTCATTCCGGTACGTAGAACCGGCTGTCGTGGGACACCGGCAACTAGTGAACGTACATAAGCGGAAGAAGTGGGACGAGCATCTGAAGACTTGTAACTTCACCTCTCGTGTGAGTAAGCTTTGGTCAACCGTGAGGTCACTGTCCAATCCGACGAAGCATGACGACAGAGTCGAAATTTCTTTCGGCGACCATGCTTTTTTTGGGGTTTTGAAGAGATGGCATAGACTATATTCCTCGGTCGCCTGGTTATTCCTCCTCCGTTAGCTTTCGTCCAAAATCCAGTGTTTTCCGCTCAATGTTCTTAGATAGGTAGTGCTTTGGAGTGATAAATTCGGCTGATGCGTTAGTGATCCCATTCATATCGTTTCGAAGTTAAGGGCGATGATAGCGATGTGTTAGCAGATATCAGTAGCGATTGCAATTATGGTAATTGCCGTTAACCGATAGGTTTGTGTATTTGGACAGAGTGTGAAGTGAGGACGTACTTCATCGCGGATTGTGTAGGAATGAGTGAGGTGGAGTCGAGTTATATGTACAAAGATTACATAAAAAATGATACGAACGACAAAAAACATAAATGATAATAAAATGATACATATAGCATATGTAACGTATTTGCTGCAGGTAACTTTTTAAAATTTAACATTGGCTTTTTGAAAGAAATTTGCTAAATCAGTGATTTTGGCCACATTATTCTCTTTGAAGATTTCCTCAAAATTGCATGTTTCTTTGAAGACGTCGTGACTGGATCTGTGAGTGGACAAAAACGACAGTGGAAAGTTTGGTGTTCATAGCCATCCGGAGCTCCGCAGCGACAGAGCAGAGTTCAGTGCTTTGATCTTGACAAGGTATGGCTTGTTGTAAGTGTGTCCCGTAAGGACTCTATTCAAGATGTTGATTTCTTTTGGGGCTATTTTGAGCTTTTTGAACCACGTGGTACTTTTCCTTGTGGGAAAAGTAGTAGCGAAGAGATTTTTGTTAGAGTTAGAATAGGTTAAAAAGTTGTTATAGCATTCATCATATATCCTATTTTTCGTCAGCTTACTTGCTTCATCTATTGTTAGTTTGACTTTTTTACTGTTATTAAGTAAGTTCGATCGCCTTTTTAGCGAGCTGATCTGCCTTGCCATTACCTGGTATATTGTTGTGGCTGGGAATCCATCTAATTTGTATACTGTGAAAAGGGTTCTGGCTTATTTTATTTGTGTATACTATTATTAGAATTTCTATTTTTGAGAGTTTGACATGAAATTAAGCTATCAGTAAAAATTACTAAGGAGGAATATGTCAATTGCTTCCTCTATGGTTAGCAGTTCGCCGAAAGTTGACGACGATTTGAAGAGAATAAAAGAGTGTTCAGCGTTTGTATTAAGAATATAGATTCCACAGCCTGTTCTGTCTTCAGATAAAGATGCATCCGTGTACATGATGGTATAATTTCTGCCCAAATAGTCATCCACAATTGAAGCATGTTGTGTCTTTATACATTCCACAGTCATGTCAGTCTTTCTTTCTAGTAATAGTTGTTTTTGCTATGACTTTTAAGTTAGTGGCTGGTTGATGCTGGGGAATTACGTCAACACTATCAAAAATGTCTGCAAATTTATTGTATACAATTGAGTAGCTGGAGTTTAGGAACGGATTTGATTGGATTGAGGTTACTATTGGGTCTTGTAAGGCTATCAATTTAATTATTTCTGTGGCTGTGAGCCATTTTGCTCTTTCCGATTGAGGGAGCTCGTTTGCTAAGACGTATATAATTGGAATTGGGGTGGACGGGGAAACACCCAGGCATATCAATTTTTTAAATTTTTTTCGATTTCAATGCTTTATTTAGTCAACATTTGACTATTTTTGTACAATATTCTTTCACATTTACACTCAACGTTTTTTTCGTGTTTACAAACTAGTTATAATTACTATGTACTATTTTTATACTAAAATTTAGTTAGGTTCAAAAGTTTTCTTTTACATATCCTTCGATTAATTGCTTAAATCTATTGATATTTGACACTGCTTTTATAGACCCGGGGAGTGCGTTAAATAGTGCAAAACCCTTATATATCAAACTATTTTGCTAAGCTACACTTTTAAATGACGCTAATCTCTTGTCTTCACTATTTCTTAAATTATAGGGCTGAATGTCTCTTATTATCCTTACATACCTAGCTAAATAAGTAGGCAACATATTATGTTTTATTTGAAAAACAAATAAAAGTACATTGTAACATATTCTTGTTTTACACTCATCCACCTCAACGCTTTTAACATCACCCTTATTGGTGTTAATAAATTACATCTTAGGATTACTCGCATCGCCTTATTCTGTATCCTTTGTAAGGACTCTATTGCACCTTGGCTCGCTAGAAACAAAATTGTAGAACAACATTCTAATACCTCTATTCTGTATCAGTGACAAATTTTTTTTACAGTTTTGTTACGGAAAAATATATGAAAAAATTTTCGTTTTTCAGTTACAAAAGTTTTGTCACCTATACAGAATTGGGCTGTAAATGTGGTTTTATCCATATATTGTATATTTTTATAGCCGTGTTGTAATTTATGAGTTTTCTAATTCTTTTGAAAAATCCTACTTTCTTCGCAACTTTTCCTGTTATAAATTTAACATGGTTTTCAAAACGAAGTTTGTTGTCTATCAGTACAAATATTTCATTTCACATACATTCTCAATTTGTTCATTATCCATATATACATTAACGGTAGTATTACTATTAATTACCATACATTTTGTTTTTTTCACATTCAATTTTAATTTATTCGCTTTTAGCCAAGAATCAATTCTTTGTAAGTCCTTCTTCATCACTATATTACACTCGCCCGCTGAATCTGCTTCTATGTACACCAACGTATCATCCGCAAACAACGCCACCTTTACGTTTGTAACTGCGTTACAAATATCGTTAACGTATATCGCAAAGAGAAGTGGTCCTTATATAGACCCCTGCGCAACACCAAGATTTACTTGCAGCGACGTCGAAAGAGAATCGTTGACTCGTGTACTTTGAGTTCTTTCGCAAAGGTAGCTTTTAAACCATTTAATAGCACCTGGTCCAACACTGCAGCCTGCTGCGCTGCTACCTCACAACCCCAACCGCCTGCGCCTACATCTGTGCCAATGCCAACGCCAGCGGCTATCCCACAACCACGGCCCACGGTCACAACCACACCGGCACCAACACCGGTGACAACACCAGCGGTCGGACCACCACACCCGCAACAAACACAGCAGGCACAGCAAGCAGTTCAGGCAGCGCGCCAGTACTCCCTCACCCCGTGAATTACCATCACCAGGCCCAACTCCATCAAACTATTGCAGTCTAATTGCAACGGACTACAAAGCAAGATCGCTGAGATAGTCAGCTTCATGAGGCGCAACAAAATCTCAGTCGCGGCGGTCCAGGAAACCAAACTCCACTCCGGCTCTAGCCTTCAGAGTCAGGATGAGTTCAACGTCATCCGAAGAGACCGCCCTCGCGGCGCCGGAGGCGGCATCGCCTTTATATTGCACAACGCGATCCAATACCGGCTCATTACCCCCCGAATCGCCGCCAACGATACACTCATTGAGCACCAAGGTATGGCAATCAAGTCGGGAGATACTGAGCTGGAAGTTGTCAACGTGTACATACCACCTGCCACCAGTTGCCCAGCAGGGTATCGCCCGACCATAAGTGCGCTACTCGAAGGCGAAAACCGGGTAGTGCTAGGGGATTTTAACGCGCACCACGAACTCTGGCACTCCAACCGGGCAACGACCAGCGGGGTACACTAATCGCAGAACAAATTGACGACTCAACGTTTTGCACTGTAAACGACGATGCCCCCACCAGGGTCGCGGGTGACTGCTACAGCTCGCCAGATATCACTATAGCAAGCGGGGGTCTGATAAATTGCATTGGTTGGCAACCAGTGCTCACGCTCGCATCAGACCACCTGCCCATAGTAGTCGCGATAGACCACCCAAGAGATTTTGTCACATCCGAAGACCGTACGTATATGAACACAAAGAAGGCCAACTGGGACGGTTTTACGGAACACACAGACCGCAAATTAAATGCTCTTCCACCACCAACATGCGCGCGCGAATTTGAGCGCAACATCCGCCGGATCATCAACGCAGCAGCCGCCCGCTTCATACCAGCCGGTAGGATTGCCAAAATCCGCCCGGGCTTCCCAGCTGAAGCGGCGGGACTCGCAGACGAGCGTGATCGAATCCGCCAGTCTAATCCTGGTGATCCCCGTATCAGGGATCTCAACAAGGACATTAACAAACTGGTTAACGAACACAAGCGGAAAACGTGGAATGAGCACCTCAAGACCTGCAATCTCACCAGCGGAGCTAGCAAACTGGACGACAGTAAAATCTCTCTCCCATCCGGCGAAACGCAAGGACAACGTTGCCCTTACATTCGGCGATACCACCACGTCGGACCCACAGACGTGCGCGCGTTTCTTCAGCCGGCAGTTTATTGCACACCCGGAGAGAGACAAAGCCCGCCGCAGTGTGCTACGTAAAGCACACAAACTCCGCCCCCGAGACACACCAACGTGCTTTACACCAGAAGAGACGCAGGCAGCTGTAAAGAACGCCAAAGCATCCAAGGCGTTAGGCCCCGACGGAATCTCGATGCAGATGCTGAAAAAGCTAGGACCAGTGGGAGTCGAGTACATCACAGCAGCTTTCAATTTGTCACTGTCCACCCTGATCATCCCTGAAATGTGGAAAATGGGTAGGATCATCCCCCTCCTTAAACCAGGTAAAAGGGCGGACGCAGGAGACTCTTACCGGCCAATCTCCCTCCTATCCCCAGTGGCAAAGACAATGGAAGCACTACTCCTCCCCAGTCTAACGAAGCATTTGCAACTAGCCCAACACCAACACGGATTCGGCAAAATGCACAGCACAACCACTGCATTAAACGCCATCACCACACAGATAAGCGAGGGTCTGAACCAACGTCGACCCTGTGATAGGACGGTCCTAGTCGCGGTGGACCTGTCGAAGGCCTTCGACACGGTAAACCACGCGACCCTCTGCCAAGACGTCCTGGATTCGTCGCTTCCGGATCGGACGAAGCGGTGGATAACCAGCTATCTGTGTGGACGCCAATCTTCGGTCGAATTCCGAAACGCCAAGTCCAGGCCGCGTAGGATTAAACAGGGGGTCCCCCAAGGCGGCGTACTCTCCCCGACACTGTTCAACCTCTATATGGCGAAACTCCCTCTGCCGCCAACAGGAGTTAACTTGGTGAGCTACGCCGATGATTGCACGATTATGGCGACGGGCCCCAATATTGACAGCCTATGCGGGAAAATCAGCGACTATCTCACCGATCTTGCAAATTTCTTCACTGCCAGGAGCCTCACCATCTCCGCCGCGAAATCCACCGCCACACTGTTCACCACCTGGACAAAGGAAGTTAGGCTAGAGCTGGACGTGTACGTCGATGGCAACAAAATACCGACGGTCAACCACCCAAAAATCCTTGGAGTCACGTTCGACAGCCTATTCTCCTTTTCTGCGCATGCCTCAGCCACCTGCGAAAGGATGCGAGTTAGGAACAAAGTCCTCAAGTCACTAGCCGGAGGCACTTGGGGAGCCGACAAAGAAACCCTGCTCACCACGTATAAAGCAATAGGTCGGTCGGTGGCAAACTACGCAGCGCCAGTGTGGACGGCGGGTACCAGCGATACGCAGTGGAGAAACTTACAAACATGCCAGAATGCAGTTCTACGCACGGTTACAGGTTGCCATCTCATGTCGTCCGAGCATCACCTCCACCAAGAAAGCCAGATGCTGGCGGTGAAAGAGCACAACACGTTGCTATCGAAGCAGTTCCTCGTGGGATGTTACCGTGGAAATCACCCCAATAACGCCCTGCTTCGAAATGAACCGCCTCCCCGACATGTCAGACGTCACCTGCACGACTGGAAATCCGATGTCGAGCCGTGCGTAGACCACCCATTCGGCGCACAGAAATACAGAGCGGCGCTTAACCACCTACACACCGATGCAGTCAGGTCGAGTCTCAGCACCAGAAACGACAACATCGTTCTAGGTGGTCGACCGCCACCCATCAACATCGACGAAGCCGAACTGCCAAGAGAGACCAGGTGCACCCTAGCACAACTCCGTTCTGGGTGGTGCCGCAGATTAAACAGCTATCTCTCCCGGCTGAACCCAGAAGTGGCAGACACATGCCCTGCATGCGGGCAAGGTCCACACAACACCCAACTCCTCTTCGCATGCGCCTCTAACCCCACGA